CACAAATGATCCCAATCGAAGCGTTCAGCATTGTATACAAATTATGCACTTGACTACATTACTTGTGGCTTTAATGAAAAAAAAAAAACACTTAAAAACAAAAGGACAAAATATATCGAAAAGTACTCCAAAGCCGATCACATTACACTTTAAATAAATCCCACGAAATCTGCTTTGGGTACAAACCCAAAAATATCATATTGCATTTGGTTATTTTGAATTCTATAACAATATGTCCCTGCTACACCGTCTCAAATTTCATTGCCACTTTGAAAACAACAAACGTCCATACTTTTTTATGATTCCATAAATAACTTTTTGTCATATGAGGTTCTTGTTTGGGTTTCGAACATGGCACAAACAGAAAGAAGTTTAACTTCGAATGGCATAGGAAAAATGCAACTCTGTAGCAGAGTCGTATTGTGTCAGATAGATGTTTTTATGCATGCAACAATTGATTTTGATTATTTTACATTTCATTTCTTAAATTGGGAAAAAATGGAAGAGAATGGAATGCTGTAGGTTTTCCACAAAATTGAGTCCAAGAGCGGAGGAGAATATTGTTTTGTACCAAATTATAAAATAAATGAATGAATTTTTGTTGCAACTGAGTATGAAGTAATTTTAATTTTGGTTTAGCTTCAGGATAATGGACGTTGCGAATTTGGATAATACGACCATTAAAAACATTTTACCGTAGTGTGAAGCTTAGCATTTTTGTACCTGTCATATGATGCCATGTTGATTTCTGCCTGTCCTTCCTTCTACATTAGGGGGTTCGACGTGGGCAACCCTACAACACTACAATTTACGTTAACGTTTCTGTAGACATAATACCCTTGAAATAGAAGGAATGAATCCTCTTTCAAAAGTCTCCGTAAACTCAACACCTTGCAATTAGGAGGAACGAGTCCCTCAAATTATTGCAACACAGTGAAGGACTACTTAAAAACCGTTCGAATTGTTAAGGTTCATACTGTAATTTTCGATTATCAGAGTTTATTATTGTTTTCCCACGTCTCTCACACCCGCCCCTGCCGATCGAGGAGGTCACCTCTCTATACGCAGAGAGCGCGTACACACCCAAGTCCGGACCAAGGCGGGTTAGCCATAGTTTCACACCGGCAACAGAAACTACATCAGCCAGTGAATAAAATACGAGAAAAATTATAGAAGACACATACAGATTGGTAAAAATAAATTGACAAAAGGACACATTTCTAAAGTCTCTGCTCATTGGCTGCGTCTACTGTTCCACATAGGGAATAAGTATAACAAAGTATAATGTGTTCATTTCCATTATAAAACCAGTAAAGAAAGCCTTCATGTCGGGCGGGCCGACTTTATGATACCCTACACCACTTTGCTAATTAAGTAGAGCTCCACATAACAATTAAAAGTTTTTATGGGAGAATTCAATCATACACGCTATGATTATAATTATAATTTAAAGTTCAAAGGACTAAATATGCCGAAGCATTTGTATCTTTTAAATTCGGAATTGTATTGCCCATTTGGTGCACAATTAATTTGAAATCGGATAAAGATATATATGGGAGCTATATCCAAATCTGAACCGATCTCGATAAAATTTGGCAAAGATATTTCTGAGCTGTATTTGATATATTTCCCTGAATATCGTTGTTACGGAGTGCATATTACGGTTGTGGGTAACAAATATAACAAATCGGATGAACAATATATATGGAAGCTATAGCTATATCTGAACCGATCTTCACCAAATTTGACACACTAGCTTCTAGACTCAATTCGGTCGTAAGTGCCAAATTCCATCCCATTTGGACAAATATTAGACGTTTGGTGCACAATAAAAGGTAAATCGGACGAAGTTATATATGGGAGCTATATCCAAATTTGAACCGATCTCGATAAAATTTAGCAAAGGTATTTCTGAGCTGCATTTGATATATTTCCCCAAATATTGTTGTTACAGAGTGCATATTACGGCGGCGGTGGACAAAAATAACAAATCGGATGAAAAATATATATGGGAGCTATAGCTATATCTGAACCGATTTCGATCAAATTTGGCACACATATTTTCAGGCCTAATTTGGGTGTATATGCAAAATTCCATACAATTCGGGCTGATATTACACGTTTGGTGCACAATAAAATGCAAATCGGACGAAGATATATATGGGAGCTATATCTAAATTTTGACCGATTATCTCCACTTTCAATAGGGTTCGTCCTTGGGCCAAACAAAAGATCTTTGCAAAATTTCATCTGGATCGGGCAATAAATGCGACCTGTACTTTGTTTACAAAAATACATGGACAGACGGACGGACGGACAGACGGACGGACGGACATGCATAAATCGACTCAGAATGTGATTCTATGCAGATCATCAAAAGGAACTATGGGTCTATCTCGTTTCCTTCTGCCTGTTACAAACAAATGCACAAAGACATAATACCCTGACCACCTTGTGGTGTAGGGTATAATCATGATCGTCATAGATCTGGAACTAACATTTACCAAATACCAATGATCCCTAAAACGTTACAAAAGTAAAGCATCTTACGCATTAAGAACTATTTTTCTAACATTTTTAGTATTGAATGCATTTCCTGAATTTTTCTGATCAATTTTATTCTTGAAATAATGTCATATAGCTATGCAAACGGGTTACCTTGGTTTTTATGCAAAATTTCAGAGCAATATCTCTGATATCTGACCATATATGACAACGAAGTCAGCATCAAAGTAAAGGTCAGAGGTGCCATTTTATATAAGCGCTTGAATAGCTATTGTTGTATTTTTCACACCAAAATTATGGTTTTTTTCACCCGATGACCATCCAAAATAATAGGCTTCTGCTCTGTCCTACTCTCTACCCCATGCTAAATTTCGTGTCGATTGGGACTTTACTTGTTTCATGCCCTAAATATTTTGCGATCATCTGCAAATAGTATTTTATTCTGACTCTATCCATAACTCCATACAAGATTTCGTAAGGATCGGACCATTATTGCGACCTACAGCGTAATCAGTCGTTCAGACAATAAGTTCTAATATCTCAATGGTATCAGCAAAATTTGCCACTTGTCGATCTAGCAAAACAGACCCGTTTGTATGGGCGTTTCGGCTTTTTACACGATGGTCCTCTGTAGAAATATTCAGTAAATTTTTAAAATAGTAGTCATAAAAGTAGTTGACTAATTGTGAGACATATTGGGATCTACTTAGACCAAACTCGTACCAAATATATCTATTTCTAGAGACAAAAATATTTTTATATTCTCCACCATAGTATGGAGAGTATATTAAGTTTGTCATTCCGTTTGTAACAATTCTTGATCAGCATAAAATTCTATGTTGATTTGGCGATATCGGTCCGTCTGTCTGTCTGTTTGTGGAAATCACACTTGCTTCCGAACGCAATTTTACTCAGATATATTTTGGGCAGGACTTTTGGTATTTAAAATGGGCTGTATAGGTCTACGTTTTGGTATGGACCCCAAATAACTATACCGGCGAATTTATGTTACAATTTTAACCCGAATTTGCTGCAAATGGGCAGTAGGTATTTCCAGTATGTAGGAAACATGCTTACATTGTACTGCCATTTAAGTCCAAGTTTTGGTATAGTCCGCAATAGGTAATACTTCCTATGACAGAAAATTACCTGTACAGAGCCATGTCTTCGCATGGCCCCCCAACGAATGTACCCTCCAATATTTAGTATTTCGATGATTTTATATAAATTTCTCAGCAGATTTAGAGTTTTTGACATGCGCCACCTTCTCTGACAGATAATTGGCTGTTGAGGTCCACGTTCACGTATAGCCCCATATGACTGTAACACCACTTATTCGTAATTTTTTAAACTATAGCGTCATTTTTTAAAGGTTTTTTTTTTCATTTTGCTCTTTTCAAAAAAAGAGGGTATATATTACAAAAGTCTGTATCTATAGCACCAATATACTTGTTTCATCTGATTTCAAATGAAAGCTAAGGTCGAGAAATTTAAAGTGCCATTGACTACGTGCCGTTCATTCAAGCTTTTCAGGTATGACTGTAAAAATGCCATGTGTCTTGAATCACTTTAATTTGATCCAGTGCGGGTGTAATGATAATCTGGTCACAAAAAAAAAACAAAAACTACCTCGACGACTTCCCAAGTTTTTTGTATGGCAAAACGAAAAAGAAAACAAAGACTGGTTTCGTTTTACAGAGACTCGTTTAAAGGGAAACACGCACAGCGAACAATGAATCATAATAATAATAATTTGTAAGCCATAAAAATCACTTTGGGCATGAGGTCACTTCTCACGGGCTGAAACAAAAGGCCCAAACAAAACAAACCGTATGGGCTTGGCTTGGCCAGTCCACTTTGGAGTTTAATGGACCAAAACGAATTTCAAGCGTTGTTCAAACGTTGTTCGCAACGTTACGTCGTAATGAATTTGCAATTGCACAATACCCAGGCAGTTACAGACAATTAAATGCAAACCGGTTTCTGTGTATTCCACCAAAGCGCTTTGGATGCTGTCGATAGCGTGTGACTGAGACATAGATGTGGCTAAGCTGTTTGTTGCCACCAACTACCACTCCGCGCCGCACAAGTCGTTCCTCCACAAAAATGCTGCTAACATGTTGGTATCCAAACAAGTTGTGATCTTTGGCATAATCCAAAAGTTGCCAGTCTAACCAAGTGAATAAGTGGTCCAGGAGTTTTCCTAAGTACACGCCAAGCGATCTCCACAACTGGATGCTGGCGGCTGTAGTCGACGTAAAACCGGTTACTCAAGATCACACAAAAATAGAATGCAACAGGCACACACACACACACGCAGACACACCACATACAAATCTTCTGTTTCACGTTTTTCACACATACGCGTCTTGGCATTTCAAATGCATTTAACAAATACAAAAACACTCCACCACACACACGCACATATATGTGTATATTTTAAAAATTGCACTTAAATAGGTACTTATTTAGATGAAGAGGGTTGGGAAATTTACCTTTTTAAAAATCACAATTAAAATTAATCCACTCAATTTAATTCATTTGTATTTTATGTGCTCTGCTTACGTTTTTTTCTCTCTATTCTTTAATCGCTGTTTCACTCAAAATATTTCGCTTTTTCGAAAAAAGAACTTCTTTTTGAAATTGAATACTTAAGTCGAGGATGATGTATTTATTTCACTTTGTATTTCTTCTTTGTTAGAACTCAACAACTTTTTTCAATACTTAATTTCTTTGTATTTTTTTTTTTATTATTTTTTCTTTCTTCTTTTTTGTTTTGATTCAATTCGTTTTGTTTCTTTTATTTTCGATATTTTTATTTTTTTTTTGGAGCACTCAGACAGTAAATGCCGCTTCAGTTGCTGATTTTTAATTCAAACCACAACACCATAACAACATGTGTGTTATATTTACATCTGTGTGTAGTAACATACAAGCGTGGTATGTTCGTACGCTCGTAGGTGTGTACCACTGCCGTCGTAGTACTACGGCAACAACGGTAAGTAATTTATTCACGAATATCCACGGTCTGCCGTTTGCTGCTGCAGTTTAAATGATGGCAGTAGGTAGCAGGCAATACTAACAAAATGCACTACTCCATTTGTTGCTGTCGCTATATCACGCGCACGTTATTATTATTTTTTATATGTTTCTTATTCACTGAATTTCGTTAACTGCGGAGCAGAGATAATAACAAGCCAAATTGAAAAAAAAACACCATTCGATACAATGACTTGGCAACGCACAACGCTTGGTAACGCTTCGTTTCGTTCGTTATCAACCAGCACGACCGGTGTTTACAAAACAACTGGCATTTGTTGTGAGATTTGCCAAGCATACGACTGGCTGGCCGCTTCAAAACATATCAACAACATTACTCCAAGTGAGAGCGAGAGAGCATTGCACGCACACACTGAACACTGATGGGGAGAATGAGAGCATATCCGCTTTTGAGATTCAATAAGAATACTAAAATGTGTATATGGCAACGCCGTTGCTCTCTTGTCGTCGTGATAAAATATACGATAAGGAGAGGGTCTTGTGCATCACTGTTAAACAACATCAATGTTCTCTGTTATGGAAGAACGAACATTTGTGCATGGCAATGCCATTGCTCTCTGTCATCATGGTAAAGGAGAGCCCTAAGATATGCCATGAATTTTACTTATGTTCCACTTGGCTGTTAATGCAAAAGAAATTGAAAGTTGCCGGAAATGTCTCTCAGAGCCACAGGATGAAAACAATATTTCAATACTGTAGTTCTTTATATCTGTACTCAGCGTAAATCTTACTTTTTAAGTTTATCCACATACATATGAGGCTACGGCTTTGCTACAGTTCCTTGTTGGACCCGAAACCCCATTTTATGAAACAAATAGTTTTGGTGTTTGCTTTATTTTGAAATAACTTAATATTTGCAATCCATGCATATAATTTCAGTTGTGCATTATTATTCCTCATTTTTACCAAAAGACCCTTATGGTTTCCCACAAAAATATGGGTTAATCTTCCCAATTTTTGGTATGATAGAGAAGATTTGTATAATCGTAAAAATGTTGCATACACACAATCCGATAGAAGCCAAAATTAAAGTTTCAGAGTTTTTATTAAAAGGAAGATTTCCATCTCGCTTAACTTAGATCTTATTAGCTTCGTATGTCGCACAGTGGTACGATCTTAGCCAAAACTTGTAAATTTATTATTGATGGGAATTGATAGAATATATCAATTAGAAGGAATTTTTCATTTGGTATTGATACGTCAAGTCAAATTAACTAGAACAAGTTTTTAAATCAGACGATTTTAGATAATAAGCATTTTTTATCAATGTTTATACCCTACAACACTATGTGTTGGGGGTAATATAAGTTTGATTGGGCCAAAAATTATGTAACACCTCGAAACATTGGTTTCCCACATAGGAAAGTACATGTGGATGTTCCTATCGCGCCGAGCTGAGTCGATCTAGATATGTATGTCCGTCCGTCCGTCTGTCCATGTTCATTTGTAAGCACTCTACAGGTCGCAATTATGGCCCGATCTTCACGAAATTTATAATGGAGATGATCGGATAATATTTAGGACCAAATTAATGGACATAATGGACAACAACTGAAAAAATTCCCCACAAAGTATTTATATTCCTGATCAACATAAAATTCTATGTCGATTTATCAATGTCCGTCCGTCCATCCGTCTGTGGAAATCACTCTAGCTTCCGAACGAAACTAAGTAGACTGATAAAATTTTACTCTAATGTGTATTATGTCTGCAGGACTTTTGGTATTGAAAATGGGCCATGTAGGTCCACGTCTTCGTGTAGCCCACATATAACAGTACCTTTCGATATTCGGTATGTTGATGATTTTAGCGACATTATTTACCGGAACTATTTCCAATTTGGTATTTGAATTTCATAATGAATACCACAGCCTATGACAGAAAATTGTCTGTGTCTTCGTATAGCCGTCATATAACGGAACCCCCGATATTCGGTATTTTGATGATTTTAGCGACATTATTTATCGGAATTGTTTCAAATTTGGTATTTGAAGTTCGTAATGGATACTACAGCCAAAGACAGAAAATTGTGCAGGCCCACGTCTTCGTATAGCCCCCATATATAGGTACCTCCATATATTTGGTATTTTGATGATCATTCACTGATTTTTTTTAAGTTTCGCATTTGAATATTGTAATGGCTTATGACAAAAGTTACTTATGCAGATCCATGTCGTCGTATAGACCCTAATATACGGCTACATTCGGTATTTTTACGATTTTAACAGAATTTTTAACAGATTTTATTTTTTTGAAAATTGTTAAATTTGTACCAAATGGTGGAGGTTATTCAAAGTTCGGCCCGGCCGAACTTACAGCTTTTTTACTTGTTTTAATTTGACTTATAATATTGAGGTTAACATTTTGTAATATTTTTTCACCTTACAACTCAGGTTGGGGTTATTATATGCAGATTGAAATTATCGTCCTTTCCTCACGAAAATTTTAACTAGGGTAGGTTTAGGCTCAGAAGGGCTAGGCCTATTGTTTTCAAAGATATCCGCAATATATTTAGGGGCTGACCAACAACTAAAAAGTTCCTGATTTTGCAGCCGTTATAAAGGTCACAAATAGAAACAGAGAACACGGAATCTCGCATGATGTTAGATTTTAGGACACTACTTTTGTGTGAAAAAAATACCAACATTACTTACAGGCGATATCCGAAATACACAAAAGGCCAACGTCTGGCATTTTTATGCTGATTTCTTTGACGAATATAGCCAAATATCGTAGACAAGCAAATCATAGAGTTGTGTCTAAATTTGGAGATACAGACGGGCCTCTCACTTTTGTTCAAATGACCCAGAAACAGAAAAAATTGCCTGATCACACAACTGAAGCCAATCGACACGCCTGAGAAGAGAGTTAAGGACATGGAAGAATTATCGCATTTTGTATGTCCATTGGATTATATTTAGCTGTAAAAGGGACCACAACAACTAACAGCAAGACGGAGTGCGTAAATATTTGGCAAATGTCCATGGTCAAAATGCTAAGGGTAATATCTGGGCAGTACTCTATATCATAATTTCAAAAGCGGAATCTTGCAAAATGGATTTGGACATAAGGGGGCTTCTAACATATTGCAGTGTTGTAGGGTATCACATGGTCGGCCTCGCTCGACTGTAGCCTTTGCTTACTTGTTTCAATTTGACTTATAACATTGAAGTGTATATTTTGCAATATTTTTTCACCTTACAACACAGGTTGGGGTTATTATATACAGATTGCAATTATCGTCCGATCCTCAGGAAAATTTTCATAGGGGTAGGGATAGATTTAGAAGGGCTAGGCCTCTTGTTTTCAAAGAAGTCCGCAATATATTTAGGGGTTGAAATGGACCAACAACTAAAAATGTTGCTGATTTTTCAGCCATTATAAAGGTCACAAATAGAAACCAAAGGACACGAAATCTCGCATGAAGTCTTTAGGACATCGGGTAGAATGGACCACTACTGAAAACAATACAAACATTACTTACAGGCGATATCCAAAATACACAAAAGGCGAACTTCTAGAGCCAATCGACACGCCTGAGAAGAGTGGTAAGGACATGGAAAAATTGTAGCATTTTGGATGATAATTGGATTATATTTAGCTGTAAAACGGACCACAACAACTAACAGCACGATGGAGTACGAAAATATTGGCAAATGTCCCTGGTCAAAATGCTAAGGGTAATATCTGGACAGTGTTTCCTGACATAATTTCAAAAACGAAATCTTCCCAAATGATTTGGACATAAGGGGGTTTCTAACACATTGTAGTGTTGTAGGGTAAAGATGAAGTATGAAAATGGAATACTTCGGTCCCCTATGTCTGTTATCTCACGCATGTTTCCACATTTTCCAAAAATTTAAATCTATATATATAAATGTAAGTTGTGTTAGTTACTACGCTTATAACTTAAGAACCGCTGGACTGATTTTAAAGATCCACACAAATTCGGAGTTGTCTCCTCTCCGAAAAGGATAATATCCAAAAAAATCGCGTAAAAATGTGATATATTAACATTTTCATTTTGACTTTTCAAATGTACAATAGTAATGTTTTATTTTGCAGGATTTTTTTCTATTTTGACTGGCTTTTTTCTAATGTACATTTGTAGTGTTTTTTATTTTTTATTTTTGAATTCGAATATTAAAACCAATTTATTTAATTGACTTGATTTCTTGAGAACTGAAATTTATGGCGGGTTACATGGAAGTGTAATACCGAATTATATGGTGGCGAAACGGAATAGATGATATCGAAATAATTTAACGCGGTCACACCAAAAGAAAGATAATTATTAATTAAAAGATAATTACTTTTTCAAATTCGCTAAAAAATCACGAAAAAGAGATCTCATTGCAAAAATTCTCAAATCGGGAAAAAATCGAAAAGATTTTCAGTGGAATCGAATTTTAAAAAAATAGTAAGGGTCTTTAAACATTTGCTGTAATAAATCAGCGAACAAGTTGAAGATTTTTTCAATTTGCTATTCTTCTTTTGTCATTTTTTTTTTTTTAATTTGTATTTGCGAACACATTTAAACAGCCAAAAATGACAGAAAAAGCCTAATGGAGCTCATTTCAAAGCGTGGACCTACTTCTTTCATGTGACAATAATCCGTCCAATGAGAGCTCAAAATGCAAAATTCTTTGGAAGTACAATCAGTAAAATACCAAATTTAAAGGGTGCAAAATAATAGAGCGAATGGGACTTTTAGTAAGAAAAGGATTTCTATCCTTCCAGGAATTCTTCCCAAACATTCAAGATACCTTAAATCACTTTTGCAGGTCATGATATCGATCATAACTCACGGATAAGGGTACAACCCGATTTTATATTTATATAACCATCATATGATTTAAGCTATTTTTGGGGTCTTGGCCACTTTTTTCATATTTTGGCCCTTATTTGGCATCTTTGTCTCTAAGGGGTTAGGGAACCATCATACAGATAATTGCCACATAGGAATTTATTTAAGTAAAGTCCCCACATTGGAGTATCCCCAAGTCCACTTTCACATATAATGTGTGGTCAGAAAAGAAAATTTTGTATTCTATTGAATTTGTAACTCTCAAGAGAATATTGGTTGGAAACGTAGATTTGGGAAATACAACTATATGATAATATGGTGGATAAAACTATTTTTACTCATTTAAATCACGCGGAATGTTTTTCAGTTTGACATGCTATGTTGTTCTGTTAAATTTTTGATTTGGTCTCTATTTGTCATATTGGATTATAAGGGCTAG